TTACATTCAACGAATTCTTTTATTTAAAAATGTTTATTTTTCAATCTGAAATTTTGAAACACATGAAATTTTAAATTTAATTATTTTTTTTATATCTTATTATGAATTATACAAAAAAAAATTTATTTTTAAATCTTTTTTTATCCATTTTAAAACTCAAACTTGAGATCTACAATTTGAAATCTTAAATTTTTAACCATTGAAGCACCTTATTTAAGTTTCTAAATTTAGTTTTTCTTTTATATATCTAATTATAAATTATATAAAAAAAGATAATCTTTCTCTATTTTTAAATCTCTTTCAACCCAATTCAAAGCTAAATTTTAAGATCTTGGAAGCTTAAGCTCTAAACCACTAAAACACCGTTGAAGTTTCTAAATTTAATTATTTAATACCTTAATTTAGTGTGTACAGTAAGAACATGAGTGCACTAACACTTCTCTCTTTATTTGTTGAGGGAAGGTTCACTTAAGAAATAGATTTCAACTTTTATTTATTAGGTTTTTCTTTATTTTATAAAAATTTTTAATTAAAAAAAATACACTCAAACTAATTAAGATTTAATTAAGTATTAGTTACACTTGGTATTTACAGGATGCAGCTAGCATTTCTCAAAATAAAAATTAGCATTTCAGCCACTTAACTTCAAAACTCTTTTTGATGATGGTTAAAGAGATTTTTTTTTTTTTTTTTTTAATTGGTAATGGATGGTGGTTAAAAGAGATGTAAAACGTAGTGGCTTTAACTTTTTATGTATTTAAAGATATGTAAATTTCACTAGTGAAGGCTTTTGTAAAGTTGATAACATCGTCACTGCAGTGCTGGTAGTCAATTAACAATTATTCGTGATGTTTCTTTGTCCACGATTTGAGTGACGCGATTGCATCAAAACATTTTTTTTTTCACATCTACAAAAAAATGAAATTGAAAAAGAAAAAATATGTAAAAAATTATGTGAATTTTATTTTTTTAATTTAAATATATTAATTTTATTAATTTTCAATATTATTATTTAATTAACTTTTAAACGAAAGAAAGATTAAAATTTAATATTTTTATATAAAAAATTAAAAGTTAATTCTTTTAAATGAAAAATAAAAAATTAATATTTTCATTAAAAATTTAACAAATTAAATATTTTAAATAAAAAATACAAATTTAATATTTTTATTTGTACATTTTTTTCAATTGGAAAACAATGGGTGAATCGTGAAACTGAAAAAAGTCAATTCATTGGCAATTAGCTGCCAAATTGGGTTGTTTTTGCGGACATGTCCGTATAGTTATTGGTTAATCTGTGAATCAGGGATTGGCTGGTAGTTTGTAATTGATTATTCTTCTGTAATTGTAACACACTAATTGATGAATTCTTTCCCTCAGTTTTTCTCCTTCTCTTGGATTCTCCCTTTTGATTCTATCCCTCTTTCTTATTTCTAATCCTATCATGATTACTTTTTTCTTTTTTTGTAATATTATGATTGAACAAAGATTTCGGACAATTGATTTCCTCAAAAAAAAAAAAAAGATTTTGGACAATTGAGATTGTATTAATTACTTATTGGATTAGGAAAGGCCTTAATATAGGGACTTTCCCTAATTGATTAAGTAATTTTTTAGAAAAATTATGACATATAATTATAACTATGAGATATAATATAAATTTTAATTTAGATGGTGTTATAGGAATAATTTTTTTTGTCTCATTTTTTTATATAACTTTTATATATTATTAGATGATGGAATGTATTTAATATCACAGATCTAATATGAATTAAAAAAATTAATTATTTTAATGATATATTAGATTATACAAAAAAATAAAATAAAATAATTGTTCTAATAATATTTTCCTTTTAATTTTATCCAATTCATCAAGTAACTATTAATAAAAAAAATTAAATACTCAAATTCACCCTCAAATAAGAGGTGTTTCAAAAAAATTATGATAAATTACTCATTTAAATTATCAATCAAAATAAATTATTTATTATTTAACTTGTGACATTATCATATATTATTTTTCGTTAAAGATAAGTTTAGGTGGCAAATAAATTCTTGACGTGTGATATATATAATGCCATTACATGTTAAATAATAAATTATTTATTTTAATTAATAATTTAAAATAATAATTTATCTTATTTTTAGAGACAAATTTATCTTTACCTTATTCAATAATAGATTTGAGAATTTAAGTATTATTAAATATTTTAAGATTTTTAATATCAATAATGCCATTACATGTTAAATAATAAATTATTTATTTTAATTAATAATTTAAAATAATAATTTATCTTATTTTTAGAGACAAATTTATCTT